TAGATTTAATTAGTGCGGCTACGGGTTGGATAAGTTGCCGCACTGCATGAGAAATATGGTCTGTTCTACAGGAGTCAATAAACAAAACATTGGATTAAGAGACGAAGCACGGTCCCAAACATAAGCTGTTAAGTCTACATAAAGGTTACATGATGTTAGAAAATGGACCTCGCTTTTAATGCTATTAGCGTTACAGTGTTTACAAATACGGTCAGTTAATGGGGTTTTTGGTTTCGAGAAGCGGCCGAGTTCAATTTCAAGAGGAAGGGTGCCACACATATAATTCTAAAGGGTGGTGGGGTAGCGTAGTGATTAAAGCGTTCGCTCGTCACGCCGAAAACCCGTGTCCCCAGCCGTGATTTTGCTGGAATATTTCTAAAATCGGCGTAAAACCATACTCACTCACTCACTACGGTTCCAAATAAAACACGGATGACCTACGTTGTGAAAATGTCCAGTATAGCAATGCCCATTCACGCAACATAATATAGCTCTGCTGATATCTACATGCAAATCAAAACAGAGCGAGGCACTGCGACATCTTCCTTCCAAATAGCCTTTGATTTGAAATACCTAACTATTGTGCCAGTGCACTGTAGCTCACCTGCGTATGTTTTGGTTTGTTTGTTTGTTATTTAACGCCGTACTCAGCAATATTGTTATAAGGTTAAAAAAGGCATCTGTTATACAAGAAACGTACCACAAATTCGTTAGTGAGGATTACGGTGATTGCATCAGAAAAGCAATGCTATTACGGCTTGGTAATAAATTAAGGAATCAAACAACAGGATAAATCTTATTGACAGAACAGGAAAGTCCTTTTAGGTATTAATGAACAATGAATCACAGATGAGAGTTTTCAGTAATTTTCCGATCACGAGGCAAGACATGAGACCATGGAATGATGTAATTTTTAACAAATCAGAGGGATTGTATAGGGTCATGTGACAAGGGTGGAGCAGGCTCGAACACCTTAAAAAGATACCGTCAGCACTAGAAAGTGGTGCGGGTTACAAAGTCAGCAGAACGTTCGCATCGCGATCGATATCCATATCTGGTGAAGAGCTTGCCCCATCCTGTTCAGATCACGCACCTTGTAATGAAGAGAGGGATCGAGTAAATCTATGTGAGTATAAAACCTGGTGTTGAGTTATTCATTGTATGCCAGAGTGCCAGCACATGAATGAAATGTGTTTATTGAGGAGTTACAGTCGTCTGACCTCTCACTCCTAGACTTAACATCCCCATGGACCAAGCGAGTGTGTAACTTGAGCTTACATCACCCCTGACAATGCGGAACGGCCATCTTAATAGGTAACTGGTTATAGGGTTTACTAACACCCAAATCCCAGTTACGACAATATTCCAGCTATATGACGGCGGTCTGTGCTGGTTGACACATGTCATCGTATCCCAATTGCGTAGATCGATACTCATGATATTGATCACTGGATTGTCTGGTCCAGACTCCATTATTTATAGATCGCCGGCATTTATCTGAAATATTGCTGAGTGCGGCGTTAAACAAACACAAAGCCGGTGAAATAGGACCGCCGCCATATAGCTGGAATATTGTTGAGTGCGGCGTAAAACTCAACTCACTCACTCACTAAAATAGAATTTTGAACATTAAAATGAAACGTCGAAACCGACTGTAAATACGGGTTCAGATATTGCTGTTATGGCTTCATTGGTCAGTTGACTTAAGTAAGGTTAGCGGGTTAATTATCTATGTTTGTTGGAGGGTATACCAGATGAAGAACACTTTGTGAATCGTCTCACCCAGCCTGACTGCTGTTATCTCCAACTGAAAAGGTTGCCGTTATCTCCATCTGAAAGGTTCTATAAGGGCCTACTAAGAGATAACATGGTAGTTTGGAGATAACCTTATCAGCATGGTATTACTCAAGTATGTCTGAGTGGGTGGATGGCTGTAACGGCTGTGTCTGTGCGTGTGTGCGAGTGCTACTATGCAAAATGACAGTCGAGGGATTTTCTTGTAATTTGTAAATCGGCAAGCACACATGTAATTGTTTGGTTGTCAGTTAAAAGGTTTGTCTGTTATTACAATGAAACGTCACTGTCAAATCCAAACAATGCTATCATAACTATGACACTCCTCCACCTCATTATGTACCGCCTCAATGATGGAGTAGATGGAGCGTCTGCCCTGACCCGGGTCGAATGAAAGGTTGGGTACAATGTTCGAGACCATTGCCGCGCTACGCCAAATACAGGAAAAGATGGTACTTTTGTTACCCTGCCTGGAGCTCAGCTTTATGTAGGGACTAAATGAATGATTGTGGAGCGTTAGCTGTGAGTGCAAAGTCGAGTATTCATGCTACACCAAACTGTGGCATGGTACCCTGCCTGGTTGTCTAGCCAGTTCTAAACAAAATTGTCCGTTAGCTGTTAGTGAAGTCCAGTCTTGTAAACAAGCATGGTATCTCAGTTGTCTATGCGTTTCATGCACGTCATGCCTACATAAATATGGTAATGCTGAACGGGTCGATAACCCTCCTTTCCCCTTATCTCATCATGTCAAGTAAGAATGGATGAAGGAAAAATAAATAAATATTTACCTAAGTGTTATTATGTATTAACAATTCTTTTCATGCTTTAATGCGTGTAACGTATTCTACGTGCACGACTGTGGGGCGGATACAGCTTTTTGAGAAAGGTGGGGGTTGGGGTGCGGGGGTGCACACTATTGAGAAAAGGAGGGGTGCACACTTTATTTATTTTCACCCGAGTTTCAATGGTCATTTAACAAACGTTCAGAACAAATGGGGGTGCACCCCTGCACCCCCTCCTCTGGATCCGCCTATGTACTCTATTTTATTTGCAGGTGTGTGATTCTGACTCGAGTGTGTTATATTTTCACGTGCAGGTGTTACATTGTCTGCGCCACATTCCACCTGAGTGAGTGAGTGAGTTTTAGTTTTACGCCGCACTCAGCAATATTCCAGTTATATGGCAGCGGTCTGTAAATAATTGAGTCTGGACCAGACAATCCAGTGATCAACAGCATGAGCATTGATCTGCGCAATGGAAACCGATGACATATGTCAACCAAGTCAGCGAGCCTGACCACCCGATCCTGTTAGCCTTTTGTGGCAAGCATGGGTTGCTAAAGACCCATTCTACCCGGATCTTCACCTGAAGGAGTGTAACTTTTTGTGTGCACTGTATTTCACCTGCAGGTGTGTGACATTGTGTGTCCTTATGTGTAGGTGTGGTAGGTACATAGGTTGTCAGATGGATTACAGGATGAACCAGCAGTATGTCCGTGGTTGGCTTTCCTTCATGGACCAGTGGACACCCATGGCCCAGTGGCTGTGCTAAGTTTGTCAAGTAGTAACATCTGTTGTCCAGTGGGTGAACATGGGTGGAAAAGCAGGTGGACATGGTTTGTTTGTTGGGGATACCTTCGTAGTCCAGAGGGTGGACATGGTCCTAACTGACTGACTGACTGACTGAGTTTGGTTTTACGCTGCTTTCAGCAATATTCCAGCAACATCGCACCAGAAATGAGCTTCACACATTGTATCTATGTGGTGTTTCGAACCTGGGTCTTCGGTGTGACGAGCCAACACCTTAACCACTAGGCTACCCCACCACCCCACATGGTTGTAACAGTGAGTGCACAAGGGTGGACTTGGTTTTAACAGTGAGTGCACAAGGGTGGACTTGGTTCTAACAGTGAGTGCACAAAGGTGGACTTGGTTCTAACAGTGAGTGCACAAGGGTGGACTTGGTTCTAACGGTGGATGTACATGTGTGTACAGGGTTGGTTGGACCAAAAGGTATATAAACATGGTTTGATCTTGTCTCTGGGTAGAGCTGTATGTCTTAATAGTGCCAGGATCTGATTTTCAAAGATTTCAAGCCAAGATTGTTTCATCTGCATCAAACTGTCATGGAGTCTAACGAATGTTTGATTTGGTTTCCTTCTTCCTATATTAACCTCATATAATAAAACATATCAAATATTGTTCCAACTGTTTTACAACGGGGAACAGGCACAAACACACCAGTCCATTTGGAGGTAAGGATTGCCACTCTCTATCTTCAATTCCGGAGTTTGTGAGTTGTGTTTCATACTTGTAATAGCTTTCAGTGATGTCACAGATTGATAGCAAAATGTAGGAGAAAAGTGCCAAAGTAACCTAGGTTGTAGATATTTTAAACTTTTGATGAAATTGAACCCCAGACCAATGACCTCACTGTTTTTAAATGTACTAAAAAATAATCAGCAAAAATAATTAACTCAAAACATCACATAAAAGAAGTAGTGAGAGAATGAGTATTGTTTATATATATTCTATCAATATCACAGAATGAAAATCCACCAAATGGGTTTGACACTTTGTTGCCATATGGGGAATAAAACTCACTCCCTTCATGACTGCTTTAACATGACAAGCCTATTCCACTGCCCCTAAAAGACAGTGGACCAGTTTGGTCTAAATGATTTACTTCCACAGCATAGCTTTTAGGGCTGCGCAATATAACCGGTTTACCGGTATTTACCGGTTCAGACATTAAAACGATACGTATTGCGATACGCTGATCGAAAACCGGTATTTTGACATGCATTCGGAAAACTTCGTAACATTCGGAAATCTTCGGATATTTCCGTTTTTTTAATTGTTCTTTTCCCTATTTCATTAGTGCCAAATGTTACTTACATTTTTATTTTTTCATGATTAAAAGTTTTTATTAAAGGTTAATTAATCATAGTGATTTTGTTGTGTTTTTGCTTTATAATCAAGCATTAACTCGATTATAAATAGTTTTTGTTAAAAAAATAATTCTTGCAATATATTGCAATACATATCGCAATATATGCTTCCGCATCGCAATATATCGCAATATGAAAATTCTCTGCAATACCCACCCCTAATAGCTTTTATCACACATTGCCTTTCCCGTATTTCGACAGACATTATCTCCTGGATTTCTGAGTGTACAAGATTAAAAATAACAAAATACCAGCATAACATTTTAACTCAATTTATCTACTATTACATAACCATGGCAACAGCACATGATAATACTATGTGGAAAGATTCAAATACTCCAATATGTCCTGACAACATCTTGTACACAGCACCCTTCACACTTCAGAATCTCAGAGTAAATAATAACAACAATTGGTCAGTCTTAAAATAACTGTCTCACAAAATGAGCACATATATCAACTTTTAAAATCTAACAAAAGGCGTAGATGTTGTATAAGGTTGGTCAGGCCATCGAGGTAGTTGCGGTCCTCCACTGGAGTGGGAAACACGTGGGCAAAGTCAATCATTCTAACGTCAATCGTTGGTAACTTTTTCAAACAAGCAGCTGATTGGCAGTTTGGTTCGGAAGAACCCTGGTGTTTGGATGTTGTGGACACTTTGTCATCGCTGGTTGTTGACTGTGAGGGTGAACTGGTTTTACTTGATGCAGGGTGTTTGTGTTTGTCACAGATTAACGCTTCGTACACTATCAACAAGGAGCTTCCGTAGAAGGAGTACTGTCTTTGTGAGGTAAACCAGTATTGCAAGTCAACCAGCTTGGATAACAATATCTCTATCACATCCTTTCGAATAGACTTGGGATAGCCAAAGAATTTTCCTATACCTGAAACAGAAAATACAAACCATACTTCATAGAGAGAGATGGAGTGTATTTGGGTGTCAGAAGAGGATAAAATTTTTGTTTTAGGTCGTTTCCACTCCAAGGTCATAAGAGTGATTGAGTGAGTTTAGTTTTACGCAGCACTCAGCAATATTCCAGCTATATGGCGGCGGTCTGTAAATAATCGAGTCTGGACCAGACAATCCAGTGATCAACAGCATGAGCATCGATCTGCACAATTGGGAACCGATGACATGTGTCAACCAAGTCAGCGAGCCTGATCCCGTTAGTCGCCTCCTACAACAAGTATGGGTTACTGAAGATCAATTCTTCACGGGTCATAAGAAACGAATCTTCACGGGTCATAAGAACAAGTGAAAGTGTGTAACCTGAGATAGGATAAGTTTTAAAGTTCTCTATTTTCTTGCCCTGGGAACTGAAGCCTGGGGCATATTTCACACTCCACTTTCAAGCCCTCTGTCTGATGTCATATCACTGTTCATTTTCTGAAGTTGGACAATTACTGTGGGGAATGAGTGTATCAAATGAATGGGATATCAACATTTCTAATAATGAATCTGACTTCACCAGGAACAGTATTAACGAGACTTCAGTGTATATATGTCAAAGCTTTATTGGCACATGTTGGCCTCTAGGCAGGTGTAGGTAAGCCCTGCATACAGATGTTACTGGAAAGGGGATATATGAATGGCCTGTTATTATTATCATCTTACTATTTTCTTGTCTAGGAGACTCTTAGGATTACTTATCGGTGTCCGATGCTTGAAAATAGATGCTTGGGCTAGTGACCCATTGCACTAGATTTGAAGTATTTAGTCTGAGTGCTAGTCATTGTACATGCTCTGAAGCCTTAGCCTGTTACTAGTCTAAACACATTTGATTCTGTGGTTATGTAATTTCTATACCACATGCATGACCAAATAGTGGATCAGGGCTCCAGATGAGGGCCGTATCGACGTATGTACGGATAAAAATATGCACGATACGGTAGGAAATAATTTTGAAAACGTAGCAGATACGTACTACAGCAATGGTGTACGAATCATTTACAGATGTATTTATATGAAAAAGTATTGTTTTATTGTTTATTGACCTGTTTACACAAGAGTAGCAATGTTGTGGTGCATATACCAAACAAAACACAAGAATACCGATTACTAATTTCCATTCAGTACTCTTAAGTTTTTCCAGTACTCCTATATTGAAAAAATAAGGAGTACTTACTCCTGTTGAAAAATTATCTGGAGCCCTGGTGGATGTTTTTACAAGACAACTGTAAGATATCTCCTGACCAAAAATTACTCCAAACATAAACTGCCTTCCACTCACCTTCACTTATCATGTTATCTGTGGTCAGTTTGTGTCCAGCTACTTTGTCCACTCTCTCATACTGACCAGTGTCAGGCTGATAAATCTGGAATAAATGAGTGAGTGTGTTTAGTTTTACACCATTTTTAGCAATATTCCAGCAATATCATGGCAGGGGACACCAGAAATGGGCTTCACACATTGTACCCACGTGGGGAATCGAACCCGGGTCTTTGAGTTAGAGCAAACGCTTTAACCACTAGGCTACCTCACCGACCCTGGAATAAATCAAGCAATCATGAACATTGTTGATATTATGTACAAAATAATATTATATACAAAACCGACAGTATCATAGATTGACCAGAAACCAGTGATGAATAGTATGAGCATCGATTTACTAACAGTGACTGAGGCTGGTTTGCCACCATTTTGAATTTCAAAAGTGTGTCAGCTTAACGAGTAAAGAGGCCCTAAGTGGTGACCTAAACAACATTTGTGTCGTTCGTCAGGCTTATCATCTGACCAATATATTTCTACTGACCAACATTCCTGAGATCTGGAAGCCAAGTACGGCAGCACTAGGACACTTGGACTTCTCGTACGCTGCCTTCTCCGGTGTGGCGTGGGGGTCGGACGTCACCTTCCCCATCTTTACATCAGCTATACATGGCTGTTTGTAGTGTTCTACAATATTCTCCAGCTTCAGAAACCCTACTGAAACAACAAAATTTAGGTCACTACATCAGCTGCTATATGGTTGGAACAATGCTGACGTGATGTTAAATCTAAACTCACTCACTAGCTCTACACAAGACTGGTAGTTACCTCCATCAAATTCCATTGTGCCATGGTAGGCTGGCATGAACCTTCGGAGAGCTATGGTGACCTCGTCGGTATTCGTGGGGGAGAAGACTTGTTGGTAGAACTGCAGCTCCCTTGTTCCCCGAGGGGGATCCTGCAGCGCCTTCAGAATCATCCCCCTCCCCAGGTGCAGCATCCCTACACAACAAAGAGGTGAAGTTAGTGAGGTACAGCATCCCTACACAACAAAGAGGTGAAGTTAGTGAGGTACAGCATCCCTACACAACAAAGAGGTGAAGTTAGTAAGGTTCCTACACAACACTGGGAGACGTCATTGAGGTACAGTGTCCCTACACAACAAAGAGGTGAAGTTAGTAAGGTTCCTATACAACACTGGGAGACGTCATTGAGGTACAGTGTCCCTACACAACAAAGAGGTGAAGTTAGTAAGGTTCCTACACAACACTGGGAGACGTCATTGAGGTACAGCGTCCCTACACAACAAAGAGGTGAAGTTAGTGAAGTACAACATCCCTACACAACACTGGGAGACGTCATTGAGGTACAGCATCCCTACACAACAAAGAGGTGAAGTGAGTGAGGTTCCTATACAACACTGGGAGACGTCATTGAGGTACAGTGTCCCTACACAACAAAGAGGTGAAGTGAGTGAGGTTCCTACACAACACTGAGAGACGTCATTGAGGTACAGCGTCCCTACACAACAAAGAGGTGAAGTTAGTGAGGTTCCTACACAACACTGGGAGACGTCATTGAGGTACAGCATCCCTACACAACACTGGGAGATGTCATTGAGGTACAGCGTCCCTACACAACAAAGAGGTGAAGTTAGTGAGGTTCCTATACAACACTGGGAGACGTCATTGAGGTACAGCATCCCTACACAACAAAGAGGTGAAGTGAGTGAGGTTCCTACAAAACACTGAAAGACGTTATTGAGGTACAGCATCCCTACACAACAAACAGGTGAAGTTAGTGAGGTTCCTACACAACACTGGAAGACGTTATTGAGGTACAGCGTCCCTACACAACAAAGAGGTGAAGTGAGTGAGGTTCCTACACAACACTGGAAGACGTTATTGAGGTACAGCATCCCTACACAACACTGGGAGACGTCATTGAGGTACAGTGTCCCTACACAACAAAGAGGTGAAGTGAGTGAGGTTCCTACACAACACTGGGAGACGTCATTGAGGTACAGCATCCCTACACAACACTGGGAGACATTATTGAGGTACAGCATCCCTACACAACAAAGAGGTGAAGTTAGTGAGGTTCCTACACAACACTGGGAGACGTCATTGAGGTACAGCATCCCTACACAACACTGGGAGACGTCATTGAGGTACAGCATCCCTACACAACACTGGGAGACGTCATTGAGGTACAGTGTCCCTACACAACAAAGAGGTGAAGTTAGTGAGGTTCCTATACAACACTGGGAGACGTCATTGAGGTACAGTGTCCCTACACAACACTGGGAGACGTCATTGAGGCACAGTGTCCCTACACAACAAAGAGGTGAAGTTAGTGAGGTTCCTACACAACACTGGGAGACGTCATTGAGGTACAGTGTCCCTACACAACAAAGAGGTGAAGTTAGTGAGGTTCCTATACAACACTGGGAGACGTCATTGAGGTACAGTGTCCCTACACAACAAAGAGGTGAAGTTAGTGAGGTTCCTACACAACACTGGAAGACGTCATTGAGGTACAGTGTCCCTACACAACAAAGAGGTGAAGTTAGTGAAATTATGAACGGTCCCTTATATAACTGAGAGCCATAACGTATGCAGTGTTTCTGCTGGCATATTTTACAGCTGGACATTGTGATTGGCTAGCATTTCAATTACCGGTCATTTGCAAATTTTTACCGGTCAAGTGATCATGCTTTTCATTATGCACAAGACCTTGCACCCTAACAACCAATCAGAAATGTAAAGGGTATCGCGATGCGTAAATGCCACTATTTTTAGCCAGGGGTTTTCCAAAAATGCTATTTCTTTAGTTGACAACTTCTCGATGTCATTGTGACAAAGTAATCTTTCTTGAGGAGAAATAAAATTGACATAGGTGATTAGAAAATTGTTTATAAAATTTGCTGGATACGATGACCATCAGCCTAACTTTGTACCGGTCAAAGTGCGGTATATACCGGATAACGGAAACACTGGTATGGAGTCATTATCAGATAATCCAGTGACTGACATTATGAATGATGATCTACACAACTGGGAGACGTGGATATACACATAAACATTAGTTGCCTCTTACAACGAGAATAGGTTGCTGAAGACCAATCTAACCCAATCATCACAGGTCAGGTGAGGTGAAATTGGGTTTTACGTCGTGCTTGAGAATATTTCGCTCATATGACAATGTGCATGCGTGTGTATGTGTAAGTGAGGCTGCTTGTACTAGCCCAGACTGAAGCTGGTTTTATAGTGCTAGCCCACTGAGATACCATGCCGCAGTGAAGCATGAATACCCCACTCAGACACATTATACTGACTCCGAGCCGACCAGTCCTTGTTGTACTCATTAATGCCGAGCGCCAGGCAGGGACCAACAAGTACCATATTTTAAAGTCTTTTGGTATGACGCGGTCGGGGGTCGAACCCGCGACCTTCCGCTCTCCGGGTGGACGCTCTAACCACTACACCACGGAGGCGGTCCCAATCATCACACACCTCATATGACCTGTATAACTACGACATAACCTTGCTTTTTAACATTAAACCAGATAAATTAACAGCAGGACACATTTCATTTGAGTGTATATCAGATGTTCAAGTGTGATCACTTAGTTTATGACCAAGCACCGATATTTATGAGTATTTGTAAATAGCACGTACAGTGTCATAACAGGTGTAAATAGTGTTGTGGGACAGGCACAGTGGGGTCTAGTCAGTTCACTTGTGAAAAAAACTAGAGGGTAGCCCAGAGGTTAGGGAATGTTTTTGGCACGCCATAGACCTGAGTTCAATTTCAAACATGGGCACAATGTATTGAAGCCCAGTTCTTGTGTCCCCTACAATGATGTTGCTGGAATATTACTAAAGGCGGACAAAAACTACTCACTAATCTGTCAAAAATTTAGGGTGGGCTGACACAATTTCATTTCTCACTATATTTCACTGAGTTTCAGGGCTGAGAAATCCACATCAACAAGCATGGGTAACCATGGTAACTCTTTTTACACCCATATACTCTTTCTATACCATTTCACAGAATTATACATAGAATATTCATTAACATAGTGTTGATACTTGAAAGTCACAATATAAGAAATTAGTATTCACTAGGTGAATAATTAATATTCACGTCATGAATAATTCGTGGTCACAAGGTGAACACTTAGTATTCACCACAAGCATGCATTGATAGAGGGTAAATTGTATACACTGGAGTATTCTCGTACAAACTAGATGCTTGATTTTTCAGTTTTGGCAGGATTATATTCAAGTACTGTCGGAAATAGAAACAAACCGGTTTTTTGCATTTATATCTACAATTTATGTAGTTGATATATGAAAGTGTGAAATATCTGTTAAACTAAGCTCGGCCTAAGTACAGTCTCAGTGGTAGGGAGATAGGAAACGACGAAAAAGGACTTTACTGAGGAGAGATTAGTGCAGAAATGAGCAATGTGTTCTTTTCTAAGTCCAAAGCGACTTATTTGGAACAGACCATGGCTTTATTCATATTAGTGTGCGATGATATTGTATTACAAAGGACACTTTTTAAACACCCATTTTGTAATTAAACTTAGCTTCATTATACAAGATAGCTGACATAAAAAATAATAACTTCAACACTGAAACTATTAAGGATGTAGCTGCCATGGAGTCTCACTATCACTGAAAAAAGAAACAGGTAGGAGGGGTCGTCTCAAAAGCAAAACCAGGGCGGGTGTCGCAGATGGTGGTTGAGGTCGGGCTGGGGGAATAGAGATATCAGCTAAGATAAAATAATCCTTTAGGCAAATTAAACTGGGGAAGAAAACGGCATGTCATAACAATTTACAAATAATATCCAATCCTGTCGATCTTCTGGTGGTCATGCCACCTATATATTTTGAGACATTTCATACGATGGCTGATATAAGCTTTTCTATGGGTATCATATTCTTTTACATATCACTACATAAATTTTATGAAAGAAAGACACGTAAGATGTTAATCAATAGATGAAACATATTCAACACACATAAAAAAGCATAGAATATCTTTGAGATGACCCCTTGTGCCCGTATGCAGCACATGCATTTCATGCCAGGTGACTCGATGGTCTGTGGCCATACCTGGCTGAGCGACCTAATTGCCATCTATAGTCTGATCTATTGTTTTCAGCAGCCATTCGTATTTTTTCTAAGTTTTGCCCGATATTACCAGTAAACATGCTTTTCTGGATATCCTATTACGCATCCCACCGAACGCCCAGTTAGGCCGATGTATGTTATTTCAACATATGCTATTTGCAATTGTGTAAATTTTAGGGATACAGAGTGACAGCCTAAAAACAGTTTTTTTCTATTTCCAACAGTGCTTTAATACCATGTCTAATCACTGTCAATACTACTCCCTGTACAACATATCAACTTGACCATAAGGTTGCTGTGCTGTTATCACTACATACCACACGTATAATCAAAGCTTGATGAAGTTCTTACAAACTGTTTACTTACAAACTTTCTTGTGGGGTAATAACAACATAACAGCAACCCAATGAATCACCAAAATAGATCAGATGAAAGAATCACTATCAATAGAGATTTCTTGTTTCCCATGACCAGACCAAATCTAAAATTACCACTGATCTTAAAGTCTTTTCAGTTTACCAGATCTGTGAACATGGTTAGCAATGACTTTTATAGCTTTCTTAATTGCACATGCCATTCCAAGTGTGCCATTTACAAAGGTCCAGAGAAGAAAGTGTGGATGACAGGTGGGGGTTTGGGAATTTGTGCCGGGTGTATGCTCACCCCATACTTCAGACACTTTAAATATAAGCTGTTTTGAAGACTGTGTTGAAGACAGAATTATGTTTTCGCCTCTAACAGACACTTTAGCTTCACTTTTGTGAGTGAGTTTAGTTTTACGCCGCACTCAGCAATATTCCAGCTATATGGCGGCGGTCTGTAAATAATTGAGTCTGGACCAGACAATCTAGTGATCAACAGCATGATCATCGACCTGCACAATTGGGAACCGATGACGTGTCAACCAAGCCAGCGAGCCTGACCACGCGATCCCATTAGTCACCTCTTCCGACAAGCATGGGTTACTGAAGGTACATTCTAACCCGGACCTTCACAGGTTAGAGGCAGTGGGGAGCTATCCTAGCCAAGGTTCCCACAGGGGCCACTTGGGTGTATACAGGAGGGGCGCATCATTACCAGGTTTACCTTGCTTTTTGTCTTTCTTGCCATATACATGTCCAGCGACCTGCAATGTGAAGGATGTCACGGTGACCTGGCTCTGGTCCTCATCATTGTCAGGTTTGTAAGCACCATGTTGAACATTGGTCCCGGTCGATAACAGCATAGTTTCTGAAATTACATGAATTACATGACTGTGACGCACAAACATTGGCGCACCGAGTTATTGTGGCTTAACCATAAATGTACATGCACAGTTTATTGTTTATAATAAACTTTGACCTACGTTCCTAAAACATTCAAGATCAGTATGTCCGTTCAAAACACAAACTGAAACAAACCATGGGGATCTAAACGAATTATTTTTGGAAAGTGAGCTACTATTGTTAAATCACTTAGTCTGCATTCCTCGATTATTCTATAACAAGTACTGGAATGTTTAATCAAGCCTTGACCAGAAAAGCAGGGGCTGATATCATGAGCAACATGCCACGTTGCCAAGGTAACACAGTATTATCTATACCACCATTTGAGACTGAAGGCCAGTTACAAACTGGAAACTTTACTTAAATGGTTCCACGGGTGGTGGGGTAGCCTACTGGTCAAAGCATTTGCTCGTCATGCCGAAGGCCCAGGTTCGATTCCCCACATGGGTATAATGTGTGAAGCCCATTTCTTGTGTCCCCTGCCATGATATTGCTGTTATATTGCTAAAAGTGGCGTAAAACTAAACTCACTCACTCACTCACCAAAATAGCTCCTATGGTCTGTTTGCAAACATATATGAAGTAAAGACATGTTTTCATCTTTGTGGGATGCAAGACTCAGATGATGCTTTGCTGAATGGTGTTGACAGAGCCTGCATCATAATCAGCTACTATCTGGGATTAAAACACATGCTCTACAGATCCTGTAAATCATCCCCATAGACCACTGTGCCATAAAATGAACATGTACTGCACCCCAGCTGTACGAAATTGGAGCATACCCAGATCACTTAATTTTTCTGCTTCACTCTCTCCCAATTCACCTAAAAAGGCCAGAGCCCAGATCACCTAATACCTGTAATCACTGAACTGTATCGTCTTGCTGGAGCAGGCTTAGGTTCACAGGGCGTCCTGCATTAATTCTTAAAAAATCTTACTAGTTCATCACAGTTTGTGCGATGTCGAGATCAGCATGGAGCAGGACATATGGAAATATGTAAGGACAGGAGTTATGTTTACCTACGGCATTATTGCAAAGTCAAACATACTTGTGGCAGTATCATTCACACCTCATATAATTGATCTACCATGCTTACCATGGCTGATACAAACACAAGCTCAACAGAAAGAAAGGGGTAGCCTATAGTCCGTCAACTGAACTTTTGGCACCCTGTTTTTCACAATTTACCTTTTAACCAAAAATGCCTTCAAAATGTTTTTGTGCATACACTCTTTATATCTTATGACCTATCTAAGGTTTAAATTTCATAATTTTATGTCAATTATTAAAGCTTCTTCTTAAGAAGCCATCTTATAAAAACAAAAAAAAATAGAAGTAGTTATACAAGGGAGTAAAATGATACGATGGAACAGCAAACAACATGGTATGACACGCGTGCATGTTGTTTACATTGTTATGCCTGCAAGCAAATCTAAAGGGACTGTATAATCATCACAAATCCATCTTAAACAAGTAGATGTATTGAAGTCTTTAAAGACTGGTTGCTCAATCTCTTGTATCTATATCCAAATTTGAGCAACAGCTTGCATATGTCATGCTTTGATACATTGATGTCATGGTCTTCTTTTGAACAATATTTCCTCAGTTTGCTTGAAGATATGGACTCATTGGATCAATGTAATCGACACATGACGTCCCTCACAACCCTTCCATCGAATTCATCAAGCTTTCTTTTTTTTTCATGTTTTAAGACGATCCACGATTTAACTGCCACGTCACTGTCAGGCTCTGAAATGGTGTCATGGGAGATAACTCTTTGCAATGTTCTTTTGCAGGTCTTGGTGGCATTAAATGTCTTTTGGAGAAACACTCAATTGAAAACTTCGCTTTGCCTCGTGCTTGAAAAAGTTGTAAACTCTTTTGATGATTTGTCGGTCATCTTTGTACAACAACGTTTTCACCATAACCTGTGTGTTGACGATCTTTGACATCACTTAAGCGTGCTAATGTCAATACCCGTGCATGTACATATCACGCTGACATACATCTTACAATGTTGTTGGCTTTTCCATCATGTGTGTTAACCCCTCGTAAAACTCTCCAGTTTTACAATTATTATATGACAGGTTTAAAGGCAAAATCTTTAATAATCATTTTAAAATTACTAAAATCGATATCTTGTTAGGTCACGGTATACAATTACCATATGAACAGAGTAGTGTTTTACAATATTCAGGAGTTTTACGTAAATTGTGAAAAACAGGGTGCCAAAAGTTAAGTTGATGGACTATAGTGGTTAAACTTAAAGCATTCACTTGTCATGCCGAAGACCTGGGTTCGATTCCCCATATGGATACAATGTGTGAAGCCCATTCCTGGTGTCCCCCCTATGAACAAACTCTATGGACTATACCATCCCAAACTACCATCCAGAGATTGCATAGCCACATCACCTAGTTATTTCTGGGGAAAAAATGTTTAGAAATTGTATGTCATGCCACAGCAGAGACCATGGATTTACCTGATGTCCTCCGGTTACTACGACAGGCGGTTGTATCATTGTTCTATATAGCAATGAAAGCACCCACCTCAGACCAGGTCGACCACTGCGACCGTGACCTGTCCTGTTTCATCGCTTGTAACAGGGAGACTATAAGGCGTGTTGTAGATTATCCCTGCTTGTAATAAACACTCCCACATGTTTCGAAACATTTTTCATTGATACATCAATAATATATATATATGGTATGTGTATTTTCGCAACATAAATACCCACAAGCATATTAGCCTTATGACTGAACGAGATCATGGTCAAAGGCCATGAGAAGAGTTTAGTGACTTAAAGTAAGACCGTTTATTATCTTGGCCATGACCGTTGTTACGGATGAGGTGTTTATAAACAGATAAACATGACCTTATTCCGCTTCTGACACTTCTGGCACCTGTTACAGAGCTAACCTACCTTGGTCACCTGTGTAACCACGATCTGCGTGCTGCGTTGTTCTTCCCGTCAGCTGATAATTATACTCGTATTTCGTGGAATATTTGCCATAAGCCACATTCCCTAACGCAAAATATTGACAACCTTGCTGCATCCATTACACTTCCGGATAAACCATGTGACTTGATCACATGACCACGCTGAAGAAGTGAACGAAGCGTTACTACAATCTACATATTGCGCAGTTTTTACTTGGGAAGTGGCATTTCAAAGTCGAAATCAATTATTATTGTTGAGTGCGAAAGAATATTTGCTTTATGAAAGGTATAGCATTCATTGTGTCCCTTTCTGATACGTTTGATGGCATTATTCAAGCCCGAATGCAACTTTGAGATCAAAAGTTAAAATACAAACGATGGATACACATGGAAATAACATGGAAGCGTTTAGTGTTTGGTGCATGTGAAGTTTTTGAAACTACATATGTATTCATCACCAAGTAAGGTGTGTATTGTGTTGCTATACTTATACACTTAGTAAATCGGACCATCCCAAAAAATTCCAGGGGATATTCCCATTATATTCTCCGAAAACTGAGGCGGATTCTCTCCATTAACAGTAATACGTGCTGAAACCCCCGTACAAATCCGGTCTTGGCATCCGGTGGAGGTCAACCTCACTGACATAGTTTACGCATATCATCATATTCCTCATGATGTTCACTTAATTACCTCCGGGGCGGTAGGGTAGCCTAGTGGTTAAAGCGTTCGCTCGTCACGCCGAAGGCCCGGGTTCGATTCCCCACATGGGTACAATGTGTGAAGCCCATTTCTGGTGTCCCCCGCCGTGACATTGCTGGAATATTGCTGAAAGCGCGTAAAACCCAACTCTCTCACTCAGTCACTTAATTACCTCGTCACACAGTTGGGACATAGCTGAACTTTCGGTCAGGCAACAAAGAAACACAGGATACGAAATTCTCGCGCAACGCTCACTTTTCAGATGTTATAAAAATGTGCGCCAGAAAAACAACTCGGTATATAGGGGGGTAAACAGCAAACATATATTGCCGATCACACTGCGATGATGTTAAACCACCTCCTACAGTGAGCAGATGACGGCAGTGTACTGCCGGTCTGACACAGCCTGTCACTCATATCAATTCACTGCATGTTATTACATATCATAATATTACAACACGAACTGTTCTCCGGGAGTTTTAATGATATCTTCAGAGAGAATTTCCTCAAAATACCATTAAAACATGTTTGAAAACAATTCGTATTGTGTCATAGTCAGTTCAAATATATATATGATAGTCGGTTGAATTATACATGCCTACATGTATATAACAGGCATAAAAGACGAGCAGTTCATATAAATATATTCTACTGAACAAACGTTTCATGCACACAAACTAGAGTAACGAAGAGCCAGCGCAGCAGACAAAGTCAACCAGACTGACTTACCGACAGGAAAGCAAAACAAACAGATTTTCCAAATTTATTATTCAGATTAACATAAAACAAAAATTACAAAAAATGACTGTCTGGTGACGAGTAACATGTGTGTAAAATAATGTATACAATGATTATAAGAATACTTCCACTTTTCAGCAGAATCTATTTCACGTCAATCATTCAGTCATTGTCATGCGCATTCACAAAACAAGTGAGCGATGTTCTGAAATATGATGTGGTGTTACTAAATTGTGTATATTAGAACAAATGTATATCATGAAACACTCACTGGCACAAATATTGTTTCAAACAGCATTTTTGATTTGGAAATAAGCTGGCATTCACTAAAGTGTTTAATATCATTTATTTTCTTTGTGTTTATCCTTAGGTTTCGGCTTCCAGTCCTTGCTTCTGATGACGAGCGCCCCCACGTTGTCGCCCGTCTCACGGTTATGATACTTGTGAGCGCCGTCGCAGTATGGCCACTGAAACAGATAGACGTGGTGGTTAGTAGACGACGTACATATGGAGGAGTGAAGGGATTGGTTTTAACGCCGCTTTCAACAGTATTTCAGATACATCACGACCTGTGTGTTTGATGCGGGAGTGAGTTCAGTTTTACGCCGCTTTTGGCAATATTGCGGCAATATCACGGCGGGGGACACCAGGAATGGGCTTCACACATTGTACCCATGTGTGGAATCCAACACGGGTGTTGGACATGACAAACCAACGCTTTAACCACTAGGCTACCCCACCACCCTGCTTGATGTGGGAGTAATAACATGAGAAAGTGAAGCCCGTTTAACAGACCTATATGTTTAGCGAATTGTGGAGACTTTCAGGATTGCCCCACACTTCCACATTCTTAGGAGACCCTGTGACTGAATTTGGAAATATAAGAATGAGTACCTTTGCATTCGTTCTCCTATTTCGTAAGGTCATATCACGTTGAAAGGCCCCCACCGATTCGCTAATGCTTGTGACTTACGCAATAATTTCACTAGATAATCCGTAATTCTAGCAGTGTACGGGCAATGTTCTGAGTAGGCCGGCTTAATATCCCACGAAAGTTCAAGGTGGTAGGTCGTATTAGAGTGCAGATGTTTATAACTTTGGAGAGAGATAGCTCCAGTCAGCCGTACTTGAGCTGAGACTTCATCCGTTAATTGTTTCATAACGGTCAGACAAGCAGCTGATGCCATGAACGGCGTCGGATGCTCATCACTAGGCTTCTCTCATCACCATCACCATCACCATCATCACTGTTGTTTCTGCTATGTTATTTTGGATACATTATTGACTAGGGTGAAGTAACACTAACACAAACGGTAGTGCATTCAAGGCCGCGAACTACTGACAATGAGTGTATTAGAAAAAGGAGTACGATGACCCCTGGTTTACTAACCTTCTTTGACCTCCAGCAGCGACAGAAGCTGACCTTGTCCTCCTTCATGAGGTCCTCTCTCATTATGACGTCGGTGATTTTGGGTTCACTCTTCCGTATCATGGGGTTACATACCTGGCTCCGTCCAAATATGAGGGACCTTACACTCTGTCCGATACAGGCGCATAGTATCAGAACAGTGCAGGCGAAAGGCAGCAAAGATAACCAGTCTGCACCTGATAGGGCAAAGACGTTTGAAGTCATATGTTCTGGAGATTTCTCTGAAGTGCATAGCATGGTATTGTGTGCAAAATAGCAATTAATGGGTGAGTGAGTTTAGTTTTACGCCGCCTATAGCAGTATCGCGGCGGGGAACACCAGAAATGGGCTTCAGACATAGTATCCAAGTGTGGAATTGAACCCGGATCTTCGGCGTGACGAGCGAACGCTTTAACCACTAGGCTACCCCGCCGCCCCTCACAATAGCAGTATCTTTCGCTGACGTAAATTGGATTATTACTTGTATTTATATCCTTGAGTCATTTTACACCGAAGCTGTGAGTGGTTGTTCGTACATTTCTTTATTTGTTTTGAAAACCCTTACTGCAAACTTCCAACGATCTCTACTATAATTATAAAGTTTAATTCGAAATAAAGTGAGTGAGTGAGTTACGTTTTCGCCGCTTTTAGCAATATTGTAGCAATATCACGGCGGGGAACACCAGAAATGGGCTTCACACGTTGTACCCATGTGGGGAATCGAACCCGGGGCTTCGGCGTGACGAGCGAACGCTTTAACCACCAGGCTACCCTGCCGCCACTAATCCCAAATATAACTTGTTAGGCTCTGTAAATAATCAAATCTGGACTAGAAGATTGACATCTTGTATATCGGCCAACGCAACAGGAAAACGATGACACGCATGAAACAAGTGAGTGAGTGAGTTAAGTTTTACACTGCACTCAGCAATATTCCAGCCATATGGCGGCGGTCTGTAAATAATCGAGTCTGGACCAGACAATCCAGTGATCAACATGAGCATCGATCTGCGCAACTGGGAACCGCTGACATTTGTCAACCAAGTCAGCGAGCCCAACGACCCGATCCCGTTAGTCGCCTCTTACGACAAGCATGGACATATTCTAACGCGGACCTTCCCGGGTCATGAAACAAGTACTTCCTACTTGAATGATTCAGCAAGTTAAGAATGACTCAGCTGTGATCTGTTCCATTTTTATTCATATGTGTGTGTATGTGTGTGTGTATATATATATATATATAGAGTAAAGAACGAAACATGTTGGAGAAAAAGGCATTCTGTTTTTATTTATCTATGCAATATATATATATATATATATATACACACATATATATACACACACACATATATATATACATACAATTTGTGTGTGCGAGAGAGAGAGGCAGAGAGAGAGACAGATTGTTATTATTGATATTAAATGGCCCTGTCAGGATCGGCGGCGTAGCCAAGTAGTTACAGCGTTCGCTTGTCACGCCTTAGACCCGGGTTCGATTCCCCACATGGGTACAACGTGTGAAGCTAATTTCGAGTGTCCCTCGCCGTGATATTGCTGGAAAATTGCTAAAAGCGGCGTAAAACTAAACTCATTCACTCACTGTCCATCATCAGTAACCCTCCCGCGGCCTATTGCTGCACATCACCACTCATCTGCCCACTCGCCCCCGTGATCATCATAGGCGGATCCAGAATTTTCAAAGGGGGGGGCTCCGCCATTGCAAAACATTAACTTCAATGTGGTCTTTAGTCATTTTCAAAGGGGGTGGGGGGTTCGAAACCCCCACCCCAACCCACTGGATTCGCCACTGTACATAGTGAAATCGGAAAACAGATGTACGTCTCACCTGAGCATTTTCGTCCTTTGACTACACACAAAAATTATTCAAAATTGATATGACACACAGGTGTGCTATCAAATACATTATTCACACACTGACGTTTATTAATAATGTACACATACATGGAGCCCCAAGCTGCATATGTCTAAATGCATATTTCCTAGCGTGCGTGACATGATTATCTAAAAATGAACCGTGCGAGATAACGAGTGAATCGTGTTTGTCATGTGTCGAGTCGACCGCCTCCGTGGTGTAGTGGTTAGAGCGTCCGCCCAGAGAGCGGAAGGTCGCGGGTTCGATCCCCTACCGCGTCAAACCAAAAGACGTTAAACTATGGTACTTGTTGGTCCCTGTCTCGCGCTCGGCATTAATGGGTACAACAAGGACTGGTCGGCTCGGAGTCAGTACAATGTGTCTGAGTGGGGTATTCATGCTTCACTGCGGCATGGTATCTCAGTGGGCTAGCACTATAAAACCAGCTTCAGTCTGGGCTAGAACAAGCAGCCGCACATACACATACACACGCATGCACGTGGTCATATGAGCGAAATATTCTCAAGCACGACGTAAAACCAAATTTCACCTCACCTCACCTCACCTCATGTGTCGAGTCAATTGACTGACTGTAGAAATATAATCTGAGTTAGCCGTTGTAGCGCGACAGACACTTGGCTCTGGGTTATATTCACTGCCGTAATAAATAAACTGACCTGTTAGTTGAACCAAGTCTTCAAAGGACCCTGGTATCGGCAAATTCTCCAAGTACGTCGGGAGAGAGACACGAATCACGTGTGCTATTGCGTCCATCTTGACCCGATCGAGCTGTAAAATTACTGCACTAAACGATAAGCAGCGAGTTCATTACATTGTGCACAGGAAGTGAGTGGAACATACAGCGTACGCCTTTTACGTTGTATGTACATACTTTATAACGGGAGTGAGAAAAGCGGAAACTACAATATACGTTATCGGATCACATGAACCAAACCAGATGAACTCAGAGGTTACAAACTGGCCACTAGGATGACCAGGAAATGCCCTTGAGTTGAAAAAATAGCTATCACAGAGTTGACATGTCCGGTTATTTATTTTACTCAACATTAGGTCTTCTAAAAAGAACTCGTTCTCATCCTAATTATCCAATTAGGTCACCAGAATGAAAGTCGAGCTGGCCCCGTCGCCGAATCATGGTCTGTACCGCTGCATGGGGCGGTGGGGTAGTCTTGTGGTTGAAGCACTCGCTCGTCACGAAGACCGGGTTCGATTCCCCACATGGGTACAATATGTGAAGCCCATTTCTCACTCGTCGTTGCAAGTCGCCGTCGCGACATTTTTCATTGATACATCAATAATATATATGTTATGTGTATTTTCGCAACATAAATACCCACAAGCATATTAGCCTTATGAATGAACGAGATCATGGTCAAAGGCCATGAGAAGAGTTTAGTGACTTAAAGTAAGACCGTTTATTATCTAGGCCATGACCGTTGTTACGGATGAGGTGTTTATACAGAGATAAACATGACCTTATTCCGCTTCTGACACCTGTTACAGAGCTAACCTACCTTGATCACCTGTGTAACCACGATCTGCGTGCTGCGTTGCTCTTCCCGTCAGCTGATAAATATACTCGTATTTCGTGGAATATTTGTCATACGCCACATTCCTTAACGCAAAATATTGACAAACTTGCTGCATCCATTACACTTCCGGATAAACCATGTGACTTGATCACATGACCACACTGACGAAGTGGACGAAGCGTTACTACAATCTACATATTGCCCTGTTTTTACTTGGGAAGTGGCATTTCAAAGTCGAAATCAATTATTATTGTTGAGTGCGAAAGAATATTTGCTTTATGAAAGGTATAGCATTCATTGTATCCATTTCTGATACGTTTGATGGCATTAATCAAGCCCGAATGCAACTTTGAGATACAAACGATGGATACACATGGAAATAACATGGAAGCGTTTAGTGTTTGGTGCACGTGAAGTTTTTGAAACTACATATGTATTCATCACCAAGTTAGGTATATATTGTGTTGCTATACACTTAGTAAATCGGACCATCCAAACAAATTACAGGGGATATTCCCATTATATTCATCGAAAACTGAGGCGGATTCTCCCCATTAACAGTAATACGTGCTGAAACCCCCGTACAAATCCGGTCTTGGCATCCGGTGGTGGTCAACCTCACTGACATAGTTTACGCATATCATCATATTCCTCATGATGTTCACTTAATTACCGCCGGGGCGGTATGGTAGCCTAGTGGTTAAAGCGTTCGCTCGTCACGCCGAAGGCCCGGGTTCGATTCCCCACATGGGCACAATGTGTGAAGCCCATTTCTGGTGTCCCCCGCCGTGACATTGCTGGAATATTGCTGAAAGCGACGTAAAACCCAACTCTCTCACTCACTCACTTGATTACCTCGTCACACAGTTGGAACATAGCTGAACTTTCGGTTAGGCAACAAAGAAACACAGGATACGAATTTCTCGCGCAACGCTCACTTTTCAGATGTTATAAAAATGTGCGCCAGAAAAACAACTCGGTATATAGGGGGTTAAACAACAAACAGCCGCCATATAGCTGGGATATTGCTGAGTGCGAAGTAAAACTAAACTCACTCACTCACTCACTAAACAACAAACATATATTGCCGATCACACTGCGATAATGTTAAACCAACTCCTACAGTGAGCAGATGATGGTAGTGTACTGCCGGTCTGACACAGCCTGTCACTCATATCAATTCATTGCATGTTATTATTTATTATAATATTACAACACGAACTGTTTTCCGAGAGTTTTAATGATATCTTCAGAGAGAATTTCCTCAAAATACCATTAAAACATGTTTGAAAACAATTCGTATTGTGTCATAGTCAGTTCAAATATATATATGATAGTCGGTTGAATTATACATGCCTATATGTATAGAACAGGCATAAAAGACGAGCAGTTCATATAAATATATTCTACTGAACAAACGTTTCATGCACACAAACTAGAGTAACGAAGAGCCAGCGCAGCAGACAAAGTCAACCAGACTGACTTACCGGCAGGAAAAACAAACAAACAGATTTTCATAATTTATTATTCAGCTTAACATAAAACAAATATTACAAAAAATGACTGTCTGGTGACGAGTAACGTGTGTAAAATAATGTATACCATGATTATAAGAATACCTCCACATTTCAGCAGAATCTATTTCACGTCAATCATTCAGCTAACGGTCAACAGTAAGTTGTCATGCGCATTCACAAAACAAGTTAGCGATGATCTGAAATATGATGTGGTGTTACTAAATTGTGTATATTAGAACAAATGTATATCATGAAACACTCATTGGCACAAATATTGTTTCAAACAGCATTTTGATTTGTAAATAAGCTGGCATTCACTAAAGAGTTTCATTTATTTTCTTTGTGTTTATCCTTAGGTTTCGGCTTCCAGTCCTTGCTTCTGATGACGAGTGCCCCCACGTTGTCGCCCGTCTCACGGTTAGTATACTTGTGAGCGCTGTCGCAGTATGGCCACTGAAACCGATGGACGTGGTGGTTAGTAGACGACGTACATATGGATGAGGTGAAGGGATTGGTTTTAACGCCGCTTTCAACAGTATTTCAGATACATCACGACCTGTGTGTTTGATGCGGGAGTGAGTTCAGTTTTACGCCGGTTTTGGCAATATTGCGGCAATATTACGGCGGGGGACACCAGGAATGGGCTTCACACATTGTACCCATGTGTGGAATCCAACACGGGTGAGTAGTATGGTGACCGCACATTTCCGAGGTGACGTAACGTGACGCAACCTCGAAAATATGCGGCCACACTGACGTCATACACGTATGACGTCACGACGATAGGTCCCGTGACGTCACGAACTACAAACGAAGGTAGTGACGTCACTTGATGGTGACGCAACCTCGAAAATATACGGCCACACTGACGTCATACACGTATGACGTCACGACGATTGGTCTAATGACGTCACGATCTACAAACGAAGGTAGTGACGTCACTTGATGGTGACGCAACCTCGAAAATATACTACCACACTGACGTCACGCCCTACAACGACGGTATTGACGTCACGTGGTCATTGAACCGTCACAAATAAGGGTAATGGTCGTCTAGTACGTGTTCGTGCGTGTGTGTGTGTGTGTGTGTGTGTGTGTGTGTGTGTGTGTGTGCGTGCGCGCACGTGTGACATAATGCTCTCTTCTACCTTTCCACACTCCCACAATTCGCGAATCAGCACCAACTAAATGTGTACGATATCAAAAAAAAATTTAATACAGGTATATACAACATATAACACAATATAATACAATATATACATACAATTTCATACATTTCACAAAATGAGGCGACCTCTCCGGTTGCGCACACGGATACGGCGAGTAGGTGTCTCGCCGTTCCTGTGCACGTCTGCAACCACTGTCACCGTATTTTCTGAGGGGTGACGGTGGTTATGAGAGGCCTCCTCAAAATTAGTGAAAGCTCCTCCATCGCCGTCGTCGTCCCACGACAGCTGCTGGGCGTGTTCCCCTTCCTCTTCATCGTCGTCGTCGATGAAGAGGGGGGAGTGTACCGATGTCGGGTGGGAGGGGTAAGGGGAGGTGTTGTCATCATACACAAGAGGTCCCTGAGAGCTGAGGGCTCCATCTTCATCATCTTCTTCCACCTTCTCTGTTGGTATGCTCCTCACAATAGGGGTAGCCACCCCCAAGGTCCCTCCCCTTTCACCCCCATCCACACTACGAGCAATGTTTCTATACTGTATGCTGGACATCACTATCCCCGTAGTCTGTGTGCCAATATCAGATGTCTTCACGACACACTTAGCACACCTCTCTACGGGGATCACCAGGGCATCTTCGGTGGTCCAGTCATCTGTCGTAGGTTGTTCCCTTTTGACCTTCTTAGCGGCGGGGGTGACATCTACCGCACATAACCGGGCGTAGTGGCCACTCCCTCCACACTTGTAACATGTGGCCGTCGGACATTGGGGAGCCCAGTGACCAGAGTCCCCACACCTATAGCAACGACCATAAGAAGGAGTAGTCGTGGCAGTCGGTGTAGGAGTCGTGGCAGTCGTGGACGGCGTGGAAGGTGGGGTGGTGATCACGGAGGAAGAGGACATGTTGAAGGACGGGCAGGTCCTCCTGTAATGGCCACTCTGTTGGCAGATGGTGCACGGCATGGGGCAATCTGTTCCCCAGTGCCCCTGTCCCCCACACCTGTTTCCACACACCGCTAATGGACAGTTCTTAAACATGTGGTCATTTTTCTGGGGACACTTCCAGCAGTATAGCATGGTTGTTGGAGCAGCATCACACATCTTGCTAGAATCCATGTTAGTAGTAGTAGTGGTAGTTGTAATAGCCCTGGTAGTAGCAGTAGTAGCGGAGAGCTGGTCAGGAGTACGTCTTACTGTATGGCGAGCAGTAGTCTGTATGATTTGACAGTGGTCAAGCGAATGGTCATATACACCCCAAAGGGTAATTGAGCGTGTCCGCGTTGTAGACATGATCATACACGTCCGACACGCGCGCAGGAACACGAAAATCGCCTCTATTATCTTACGCACCATATGTCCACGGTTTATCGTATATTCCTACTCATGGGTCTAACCACTCCTTATTACACAATCATTTCGACCACCGCGTGTGCCGAAGCCTTCGAAAATAGCCCCTACATGCATCGTTAATCGGCCTAACTGCTCTAATCGTCCTCTATTATACGCAATCGTGAGTGTCCACCCCGTCGTCTCTACATCCGTTTCCTTCGAAAATAATCCCCTATGAGCGTCGTTAATTGGTCTAGTTGCTCTAATCGACCCTATTATACACAGCCGCTAGTGTCCACACCCCTTCGTCTCTTCACACCCCCCTCCTTCGATAATAATCGTCCCTGTCATACACAACCGCGTGTGCCGAAGCCTTCGAAAATAGCCCCTACATGCATCGTTAATCGGCCTAACTGCTCTAATCGTCCCCTATTATACGCAATCGTGAGTGTCCATCCCGTCGTCTCTACATCCGTTTCCTTCGAAAATAATCCCCTACGTGTGTCGTTAATCGGTCTAGTTGCTCTAATCGACCCCTATTATACGCAATCGTGAGTGTCCATCCCGTCGTCTCTACATCCGTTTCCTTCTAAAATAATCCCCTACGTGCGTCGTTAATCGGTCTAGTTGCTCTAATCGACCCTATTATACACAGCCGCTAGTGTCCACACCCCTTCGTCTCTTCACACCCCCCTCCTTCGATAATAATCGTCCCTGTCATACACAACCGCGAATGACCCCCCGTAAACCAAACAACCTTCTCTCTCTATCTCTCTCTCTCTCTCGCTTATCACAAAATGGCGCACAACGACAACATTCTCATCATGGTTGACGAGGAAGACCCCGTAAACGAACTAGTAAGAAATACGAACACGTCTCTTATAGAACATTCCGAGGATGACATACTTATATTTTTTTCGTCGGATGATGAGGAATTCCAACGCCTCAGCAGTGACACATGCCGAGAGTCCGGGACAGGGCAACCTTTGCGACAACACGACGACGACATCATCGAGGTCGTAGAGGAAGGGTTGCCGTGTCATTCTCCCCGCAACGACGGTCACAACGAGGTTATCGCCGCAACAAGTTTTTTTCCTCAGAGAACTTCGTCGGATGGATAGTCAGAGATATAGGG